GCAAGTGGGTATGCGCCTTGCTGCAGATGGCGTGGGTGCGGTGTGGTGTGGTGTGGTGTGGTGTGGTGTGGTGTGGTGTGGTGTGGTCTGGTCTGGTGCTGCCAGGTCAGGCCGCCGTGGGACGGCATAGGTGGGCCTATGAGAGGCCATAATTTCCCCCGGCATGCGTTTTGCTTGCTGCAGATGGCGTATGTGTGGCAGTGGTGGGAGGGCATAGGTGGGCATATGAGACGCCATGATTTTTGCGAGTATGCGCCTGGCTTGTTGCAGATGGCATAGGCCAGACCGCGGTGGGAGGGAATAGGCGGGCAAATGAGAGGCCATATCTCATCTCATGCAGCCATGCGCCTCGCTGCAGATGCCGCAGGTCAGGCCGCGGTGGGAGGGGGAATGGAAGCTAGGACAGTCATGAGCATGAAGGCGTGACGAGAGTGCGGAACGGAGAACGTGAGGAGGGAAGAGAGTGGGGAAGAAGAGTGGAGTCAGGAGGGTGGGGGGAGGAGAGTGGGTAAGAGAGAGAGGGGGGACGACAGTGGGGGAGTGTGGAGGCGGAAGACAAAGGGAGTGGGACGAGGGAGACAACATGGGGAGGGATTGGGGAAATCAAGGGGGGAGGGGAGCGGCGCAGTAAGCCGCACAACGAGCAGCTTCATTCACGTGCCGCGCGATATGGGGAGGGACGGGTGCGCCGCGGACCGCGCTCTCGACCAATCGGACGCGAGGAACGGCCAGGACGGAGCGGCACGGTCTGCGCGAAAGGAGAGGATGGATGCTCTATTCTTAATCGCTCGTGTCGCCGCCTTCATCTCGCTCGTCGCCGTTCGTTGGCTCGCTTCCTTTTGTCGCAATACTAGGTCAATGCGTCGCACATGTCGCATGCCTCACCTGGGTCGGTCGCATAGCCGTGTCTAAGGCCGAGAGCCGCTGGTCGAACGACCCTAGGATGTCCGCCAGGCGATCATTGTTGCTCTGCGACTGTGCCAACGCGTCGCGCAACGCCTGCGCGTGCGACGCTAAGTCGCACGCCACTTCCGCGACCATGGCGACGTTTGCGACGTCTCAAATAACGACGTCACTTCTCCGTCGTCTTCGCTAATCTTCCTACAATTCAAGTCGTAAACGAACTTGCGCTCTGTTCTATCCCCAAAAGCTGCTAGACGAAATCTAGACTCTTAGGTTGTACTTTTATTCCCGCTTTTCCGCGGTCTGTATTTTGACGTGATTGACCCGCAGCCGTTAGGAGGTTTGGCTGGGGTGCGAGCGTGACCCGAGGCTGTTTTTGCGTGCACGTCAGGTTCAGGTCTGGTTGCGTGCCAAAGGCTGTGTTGCTTTGTTCCGTTGGTCCGACCAATCATCTGTCGGACCAGAGAAATCGCTTTGAGCGGGTGCCCCTCGCGGTTTTTCAGTTCTGCGACATGGAGCCCTTGCACTTCGCCCCGTTACCAGATGCTGTTGGCCGCGAAACCCATACCTTTCACGAAATTGTTCTCTCCGCCGAAATTTCGATGTTGATCCCTCACTGTACAGTTACTGTTACGCAGTGCGTCAGTGATGGTTGTACAACGTCAGTCAGCGTCGTGTCGTAACGAAAGGTTGTGCGAACGGCGAAAATTATATGCGTTTACTTTAGCGAAATCATATGTATCCGTGCCTTCGAGACCCGCCACAGCCAGTCACTTGGTTTGCTCGCACGCCGACCCTGAAATACGCCATAGCGTTTAGGAATATTAGGCATAGGAAATATCTAGAATTCAGTAATTGTGATTCTTGCGACGCCGCAAACGTGGCCGACACGGCTCCGTGCGACACATTGGCGCAGTCGCGGAACAGCAATGATCGCCTAGGATCGTTCGACCAGCGGCTCGCAGCTATGCGACCGTCCCAGGTGAGGCGTGCGACATAGAGCGATGCAATGCATAGTGATGCGACGCGAGCAATTGGAAGGGCCGCCTCAGTTGGTCAGCTCGGAAGGAACATTCCACGCCTCGGAAGGAGCACTGCACGCCTCGGAAGGAGCAATGCATGCCTCGGAAGCAGCATTGCACGCCTATAGTCTTGATTTCACGCAGAGCAGCGTAGCGAGCCAAAACATTAACACAGCAGAGCAGAGCAGAGAAACCGAGCCGAGCCGCCGAGCCGAGCCACGCCGCGTCGCGCCGCTCTGCCGAGCCGAGCCATGCAGAGCCGAACTGAGCCGAGCCGCGCCGAGCCGAGCCGCGCCGAGCCGAACCGAGCCGAGCGGACCACCGCGAAGTCAGAGACGCAGCGGCAGAGGCCTTTCAAACCTATTTTTAGACCCACAGGTTTCACAAAAGAGGCAACCCTTTGACTTAGCCGCGTCACATGCCAGTGTTGTGGCATCTCGCCCCTTGCATCCCACCTGCGTGTTGTTTTTGCGCTTGATTGCATGATGATTATGCACTTTCCCTTGCATCCCACATGCGTGTTGTTCTTGCGCTTGATTGCATGATGATTATGCACTTTCCCTTGCATCCCGCACTCCCCCTCACATCCCGCACTCTCCCTCACGTTTCGCACTCTCCCTCACGTTTCGCACTCTCCCTCACCTACTCCTTTCTATCGCCCTCCTCCCGCCACTCCCTACTCTCACCCTCCCTCTTCCACTTTCAGCCTGCACCCTCTCTCTTTTCATGTCAACCTGACCTGGCCTGGCAGGAGTCACATAAGCCAACGACAAGCATCACGCTCACATGAACATGGCTTCCTTTCATCCCCCACTCGTTTCTCTCGCTCTCCCCACTCCCTTCTCTCGCCCTGCTTTCCCCACTCCCCTCCCTCACTCTCCCCCACTCCCTTCTCTCGCCCTGCTTCCCCTACTCCCTTCCCTAGCCCTCCTTCCTCCGCTCAGTCTCCCCACTCTCCTTCCCCCACGCTCAGCCCTCCTACCTGATTCGGCAGGAACGCACTTATGCCATTCCACAAGGAACAAGCTCGCTATAATCAGTGACCTAATTATAGCCTCTTCCTTTCCCTCTTGTTCTCTCTTTCCACTCTCCCTTTCCCCATCGCTCTCTCTTCCCCCCTCGTTGTCCCCGTCCCCCTCACTGTCCTTTTCCCCCTCTCCCACCTCTGCAAGACCTGCCAGGAGCGGCGTACATACCCCATCCGCAAGGCACACACACGAGTATGCGCATGAGCATGCGCTGACTGACCTTTCCACACCCTCTCCCTCCCCGTCTCCCACCTCTGCAAGACCTGCCAGGAGTGTACCTACCCCATCCGCAAGGCACACACGCACGCATGAGTGTGCGCTGACTGACCTTTTTCGCTTTCCTATCCCTCTCCTTCCCCCACTCCCACATGCTCTCCCTCCCCCTCTCCCACCTCTGCATGACCTGTCAGGAGCGTACCTACCCCATTCGCAAGGCACACACGCGCACATGAGCATGCGCTGACTGACCTTTCCACACCCTCTCCCTCCCCGTCTCCCACCTCTGCAAGACCTGCCAGGAGTGTACCTACCCCATCCGCAAGGCACACACGCACGCATGAGTGTGCGCTGACTGACCTTTTTCGCTTTCCTATCCCTCTCCTTCCCCCACTCCCACATGCTCTCCCTCCCCCTCTCCCACCTCTGCATGACCTGTCAGGAGCGTACCTACCCCATTCGCAAGGCACACACGCGCACATGAGCATGCGCTGACTGACCTTTCCACACCCTCTCCCTCCCCCTCTCCCACCTCTGCATGTCCTGCCTGCCAGGAGCGTACCTGCGCTATTTGCAAGGCAAACTGTCTGCTTGCTTCAATACGCCTCCACCCTGTGCACGGAGATGCGTACCTTCACTATTCGCAAGGCACATACGTGCACATCAGTATGCTGCGCTGACTGAACTTTCTCCCTTTCCCCTTTCACCCCCCCCCTCTCCCCCACTCTCTCCCCCTCCCTCCCCTTCCCTCCCCCTCCCTCCCCCTCCCACCCTCTCCGTCCCCCTTCTTCGCATGTCAATGTGAGAGAAGCCTCTCAAGGCTGCTCATTTGGTGCTGGAGAAGTATGAAGTGGCGAGACAGGTGAGGTGACGTGGCAAGGCAGGTGAGGTGACGTGGCAAGGCAGGTGATATGACGTGGCAAGGCAGGTGAGGTGACGTGGCAAGGCAGGTGAGGTGACGTGGCAAGGCAGGTGAGGTGACGTGGCAAGGCAGGTGAGGTGACGTGGCAAGGCAGGTGAGGTGACGTGGCAAGGCAGGTGAGGTGACGTGGCAAGGCAGGTGAGGTGACGTGGCAAGGCAGGTGAGGCGACGTGGCAAGGCAGGTGAAGTGACATGGCAAGCGGGTCTGAATCAAGGCTTGGTAGGAGGGGAGACGGGTTGGATAAATAGTACGAGGAGGGCGGGAGGGGAGGGACTGGAGGAGGGTGAAAGAATACTGCTGCAATGCAAGTGTGCAAGTGTGATGGCCATAGCGTGGCTGCAGGAGGGCGCGGTGGGGAAGAGGCAGATTGGTTTAGACGGTTCCTGGTCAAAAGAGGGCCCCAGGAATCACGGCTGAGAGGGTTTTTGCTCGAGGCCGGCCCACAGCCGTATCTGGCGGCCATAGCACAGCAGCAGCCTGCAGCCGTACCTGCAGCCGTACCTGCAGCCGTACCTGCAGCCGTACCTGCAGCCGTACCTGCAGCCGTACCTGCAGCCATACCTGCAGCCGTACCTGCAGCGGTACCTGGTCTGACTGGTGGCCGTAGCGTGGCTGCAGGAGGGCGCGGTGGGGAAGAGTTTTGAGGCGCGTGGGAATCGCGGTTTAGACGGTTCCTGCTCCAGGCCGACCGACCTAAAGCCGTGCCTGGTGGCCAGGCCATAGTACAGCTGCAGGAAGTCGCGGTGGGGAAGAGGCAGACTGGCCTTGGCCTTACTCATTTCTGCACCTCCGTGCCTTTCCCTTGTAACAGTTGGAGGCGCGCATCAAAGAAGGTCCCAAGGCCGACCTAGAGCCTTACCTAGCAGCTATAGCTCAGCTGGAAGAGAACGCGGGGTGCTCTGAGGCGAATGGTGCAAGTATTCCCCATGCAGACCCTTACACGCCCTTTTCCCCTCTCTCTCCCCTTACTCCTTGCTCGCAGTTGGAGGCACGCATCAAAGAAGGTCCCAAGGCCGATCTAGAGCCGTACCTAGCAGCTATAGCTCAGCTGGAAGAGAACGTGCGGTGCTCTGAGGTGCTCCAACCGGTGAAGGGCGCCTGGCAGTTGGCTCTAGCTGACTCCCAGGCGCTGCTGAAGGAGGCCCATCACCGCCTGAATGCTGCTTTCAAGCAGCAGCTGCAGCAGTGCACGTGAGTGGGAGGGGGGAATGGGGAGAGGGGGGTAGCGGGGAAGAGGGGTTGCTGAAGGAGGCCCACCGGTCCCTGGCTGATGCTTTCAAGCAGCAGCTGCAGCAGTGCACGTGAGTGGGAAGGGGCGAGGGGGGAAGGAGGGAGAAAATGGGAGGGAAGGGGCCAGGGAGTGAGTGGAGGAAGGTAGAGGCGAAGAGACGGAGAAGTGGGCCTGGGTGAGAGGCACGAGACTTGTGAAGGTGTGAGGATTTTTGAGTCTGCTTTTGAGTCGACCCAAAAGCGGGCGTGGAGGTGGCTCTAGCTGACTGACTCCCATGGGCTGCTGAGGGAGGCCACTGCTGCGTGGAGGATGCTCTTCGGCAGCAGCCGCTGCAGTTCACGTGAGCAAGGAGAATGGGAAGGGGGAATGTGGGGGAGAGGTATGAGGGAGCAAGGAAGAGGAAGAGACAGTTGCTGTTGCAGTTAATGAGAGTGAGAAGGGAGGGGAGGAATGGAGATGCGTGGATGGGAGGGAGGGGGAGGAGTGCAGGAAAGGGGGAAAGTGATGTTCGCTAATTTTCTTTCAATTTTCCTCCGTCCTGCCATCTGAGCCTGCATCTTTTCTCCCTATCCATTTTTTGAGGCGCCTAAAGTAAACAAGCCTGCTTCTTGCATCTTCACCCTATAGTCCCGCTTCACAACCCATCCGATCCAAACTCTCCCTCTCCCATGATGTTCTTCTCCCCCAACCCCTCCTCTTCCCCCACCCAACAAGGAACCAAAATCAGCCAAGGCGTGGGAAGCAGGGCGAGGAGGAGGAGGAGGAGGAGGAGGAGGAGGAGGAGGAGGAGGAGGAGGAGGAGGAGGAGGAGGAGGAGGAGGAGGAGGCGTGCGGGCGGGAGACAAACCCTCCTTCCCCTTCTAATCAGCCCTCACGCGCTCCATATCCCCCCCCTCCTCCCCCGCCCCACACAGCAAGGCTGCGGACCCGGCAAAGCTAGCATAAGCGATGAAGCAGGGTGTGACGGAGTTGATTTTTGAGTGGGCTCAAAAGGAACTCCATGTCCCCTCCTCCTCTTTCCCCCAACACAGCAAGGCTGCGGACCCAGCAAAGCTAGCAGAAGCGATGAAGAAGGCCGAGGAGGAGGGCAGGGGGCTGCCGGTGCTGCTGGCGAATAGAAAGGCAGGGGAGCGCATCCGCCAGCTGGCAGAGGCGCTCATTCGGATTGGCCGGGCCGATAATTGCCTCAAGATATACACGTGAGTGGATGCTTGCTTGCTTGCAGTGCAGTGTTGCTTGATTGCCAATGGTGCAGGCGTGGTTGAGGCTCATTGGGATGGAGGAGCTAACTCGCGAGCAGATGAGCACAATGAGCAGAGAGTGGTGCATGGCACGCATGCACTCACCCACTCACTCACTCACCCTCTACGCTCCAAGCAGCAAGATGCGCATCACTCACTCACTCACTCACCCACTCACTCACTCACTCTCCCCTCTCAGGCAGCAAGATGCACGTCACTCACTCACTGTCACCCACTCACTCACACTCTCCCGTCCTAGCAGCAAGATGTACGTCCCTCACTCAGTCACTCACTCACTCACTCACTCACACACTCTCCCCTCCAAGCAGCAACATGCGTGGCGCCGCGGTGAAGGCAGGGTTTAAGCGCATGGGGATGGAGGAGCTCACGCGCGAGCAGATGGACGGCATGGTTTGGACGGATCTGGAGACGCGCGTTGAGGGGTGGTGGAAGCCGCAGATCAAGGCTGTGAGTCAGTCAGATCATGGCAGTGAGTCAGTCAGATCAAGGCAGTGAGTCAGTCAGAGCAGAGCAGACCAAATGTTGCTTTTGCCCAAATGTTGCTTTTGCCCTTCCATTCCGACCGACCATGAGTGGCGATGACCCGCGGGACTTTGATAGGATCTTAAGACGTGCGTTAAGGGGTGTATGTCGCGAATCCGCATGGCGGTGAGCCAGATAGAGCAGTATAAATGTTGTTTTTTACTTGCAACCGACCATGAGTGGCGATGACCCGCGGGACTTTGATAGGATCTGAAAACACATCTCTATTCCAAGAGCAGGTGCTGAGTTTGGCAAAGGTCCGAGTGGGTTTCCTTCCCTGGCACCCCCCTGCCTCCCCGTCTCCATCCTGACCTCATTGCAAGCAGCAGGTGCATACCCGGAGTCGCCACATGCCGCACCCTAACATCACCATTGGGCCCCTAACATCCCAGATAAAATCCGCGCGCACTGAGGTGTTTTTTGGGCGCCTAAATTAATGCCCTGAATCGCCACGTGCCGCACCTTAACTGTTGACATCCCATACCACCCACCTCCACACCCTCTTTATCCCCTCACCCCCCCACCTAAAGGTGCATGTGGTGTTATGGGCAGAGTGGGAGCAGGTGTTGAGAGGCAAAAGGTCCAAGTGGGTTTCCTGTCAACACTGAACCCTGACAACTCTCTAACTCCCCTTCCCCATCCCAAGCTCATGCAATCCGGTGTTTGTGGTGTTCTGGGCAGAGTGGGAGAAGGTGCTGAGTGGCAAAGGTCCAAGTGAAATTCCCTTCAACACTGAACCCTTTCCCTGACACCCGCCTGCCTCCCGTTCCCCATCCTGACCTCACTACAAGCAGGTGCATGCGGTGTACAAGGCCGAGAGGTAGCTGTGCGAAAAAAGCGCTGTTATCAACCCCACAGATGAGAAAATTTACCTGTTTCATTTTTTATATGCTGATTTTTTTTCTACACTTTGGGGCTGAGAAAACAAGGAGCGAGCGATTTTCTTGGATTCAGCCAAACTTACTCTTAGTACTAACTATAAGGTTAGGTAACGAACTCATTTATGGTACCAACTATATGGGTTGGTAGCGCACTTAATTTCAGTACCAACCATAAGGGTAAGTAACGAACCCCCTTACACCCCACCGTCCCCTCCCATCTCCACCGCTTCATTCCCCCAGGTGCACGTGGTGTTCAGGGCTGAGAGGCAGCGGTGCACACACTCCACCCCTCACAACCCACCCGCTTCCTCCTTGTATCCTATTGCAACTCATTGCACGCAGGTGGATGTGGTTTTCAAGGCGGAGAGGCAGCTGTGTGAGACGGTCCTTGCAGGGTTGGAGCCGCACACAGGCAAGGCGTTTGCGGACCTGGCGGGGACCACGCTGGGCATGCTGTTTGGGTTTGGGGAGGTGGTGGCGAGCCAAAGAATGCCATTGAATCAGGCCAAGAAGCTGATGGATATGTTCGAAACACTGTTGAAGATGTATGAGACCATGCAGACGCTCATGCCACAGGTGAGATGTGATGCGAAGGCATGTGGTTATTAAGTTGAGACGCCAACACAAGAAGTGGCGCACCGGTGAACAAGGCCAAAGGCCTGAAGGACATGTTCGAGAAGCTGTTGGATATGCATGCTCATATCCAGCAGTTGAGATTATGTGGACCATGTGGACGCTCATGCCGCAGGTGAGATGACGTGTGACGCAAACTCGTGTGGTACTTGAGTTGAGATATGAACTCATGTGATGATTGAGTTTAAGAAGCGACAACTTATATGGGAAGTGAGATGCGACCTAACGTGAGAAGTAAAGTGTGGTGGCATTACATGGTAGTCGAGGTGTGACCACATGTAGGATATGATCCACAAAATGGTTTTGGAGTCATTTTGACCCAAAATATAGGTCCTTGTGCACGACCCACACCTTAATTCCACACTCTTCCGCTGGGAGTAAATGCATAATGTGTTGACGTTGGGTGGGGTCTAGGCTCTGAGAAATGTAATGTACGATTGATAAATGTTTGTCCCAATCGGCCCAAAACTTCGGGTTGGTAGAACGTTTCTCACTACCAATCATAAGCTTGAGAATTCATATCTGTCGAAAATACAGCTGCATTTTCCAGGACCAGTCGTTGTCCTTCACCACTAAGCTTGTCGACTGAGAAAATTTTCAACGCCTCCCTTAGCATTGGGCCGTGGCTCGTCTGAACTATCCTAGGCGCAGAGACATCAGATCTCTGGCTACCACTACTCACTGGGGCTGAATTCCCTTCTTTTCTAGGCGACCCCATCATTTCATACGTTGAAAACGATTAGGTTCGAGCTCTGATGCCACGTGTTAACTGCTATAGACTATACAGAAATGATTAATAACTTAACTGCTAACTTAGTAGTACTATCTCCACCTGAAGTTTTCTGAGTGTGACGGAGTAAAAACTACGGATCACCTTCTAGCCAAGAGCAAAAAAAATACTACGGAGCAGTTGAGCCTTGCTTAGCCTGTAGAATGAGTGCAGTGGTTGAACAACTTTTTGGCAACACCATAATAACGTTTTTAGTCACGTCAATACGTAATAAATAAGCTTTGAAAAAGTGCGCGAGCATTGTTGTGTTGTGTCTCGATAAGTACAAGCACATTATGAATCATACGCACAAGCAAATGCAAGCATAAAACAAATGTTAAACCGAATTTTGGGATTTCGCTTCGCTGGTTTCGGAAACGGGTGCTCGAGTATACATTTGTCAGCGAGGTTCAGGGTTTTACAGTGTGCCTCATAGTTGTGGGGAGACTTTTCAAGTTCCTAAGGATTTTGAACCCCAACTTTCAAATGTATACCGGAGCTTTGAATGTAATTTCGAGCACCCCCCGTGTCGCACGTCAAGACCGACATAATTCTGTCGTTCTGTCCTGTTGCGATCGCGCGCACTGTGCACGGTCGCAAGTGCGACACACTCGTGTTCCCTGTGGGGCCACACACGCGTTTAAGGACCCCACGCGTGGGTCCTGTCTTTCGCGCACTTTTGTTGACACTCACGAAAGTCAACTGATCTCCCCCCTCTAGTCAAATAATCGAGCACCCTGGTACACCATTCGTTCCCATGGGAGCTCATTGAGCCTCGCATGAGACATTGGAGGCACATAGAACTTTCATGAGGATCCCATGTGAGTCCCATGAGAGTTTCATTTGAGCGTCATGAGGGCTTTAGGAGAGCTTTGTGTGAGCGCTTCATGAGAGCCATGAAACACACAAAATGCGAGGACAAATGCACACCGAACACACACAAAATGGATCTGCCTGCCTGCCTGCCCAACCCTTATCAGGTGCAGGCTGCGTTTGTGGGCTCAGCGCGTGGAATGAAAACTCCCCTCTCTCACCTTGTCCTCTCAATGTGTACAGTTGGAGGTGGTATTAGCGGGCATGGCATGTGATGCCATCCGGTGCAGCGCGCAGCAGCTGCTGCAGCGACTAGCAACGACGACCAAGGAGGCATTTAACAACCTTGAGCTAGCAGTGGCGAGCGATGAGAATTATAACATGCCGCGCGATGGCACCAGGCATGAGCTCACCAGCCACGTTGTTAACAACTTCAACTATCTCAATGACGGGTGAGTCGTTGACTTGTGATGTAACGTTGACTTCTGAAGCATTGGACGGGAGGGATAACTTCACTTCACCACAGCATGGCACGCCGTGGGCGGGATGGCACGAGGCATGTGCTCACCAGCCACATTGCTAACAACTATTGCTGTTACGAGTGCATCGTTGGGCTTTGATGTGCCATTGACTGATTCATCGTTGGCTATGTGCGCTCACCAGCTACGTCGTTAACAACTTCAACTATCTCAGTGATGAGTGCGTCGTTGGCTCTTGATGCGTCGTTGAGTCCTTATGCATCGTTGACTGTGCGTCGCTGACTGGGTGTCATTGGCTTTGATGCGTGGCTGACTTTAGTCCCCTTCACTCGTTCTCTTTACCCGTCCCTTTTTCTGGTCCCCTTAAAGCGTCCCCTTCACTTATCCCCTTTACTCGTCCCTTTTAATTGTCTCCTTTACTTGTCCCCTTCACCCGCCCCCGTAACTAGTTTCGTCCCTTTCCCTTGTCCCCTTCATCTCTCCCTTCCCTTTACTCGTCCCTCCCTTTCAGCTTCCAGCCCACCATGGAAAAGCTCTTCAGCACTGGCAGCAGCAACTTCAGTGAAACTATGAAGCGGGTATTTGCAGCGCTTTACACCAATCTGGTGAGGAAGAGCAAGCAGGACGACGATGCGGCGCTCGCAGAGTTCTTCCTCATGAACAACGTGCACTACATCGTGGAGCGCGTGGTGAAGTAAGAAATAGCCCTGTTCATTCCGCAAGGTGTGTCGTGGTGCGTCGTTTTCAGCGCAGAGTTCTTCCTCATGAACTACGTGCACTACATCGTGGAGCGCGTGGTGAAGTAAGGAATAGCCCTGTTCATTCCGCAACTTGTACCGTGGTGCGTCGTTTTCAATGCACAATTCTTCCTCATGAACAATGCACACTACATCGTGGAGCGCGTGGTGAAGTAAGCAATAGCCCTGTTTATCCCGCAAGGTGTACTGTGGTGCGTCGTTTACAGTGCAAGCAGGATGTATGTACCATGCAGCAATGGTCCCTCGGGCAGTTCTTCCTCGTGAACAACATAACATGCATGCACTACATTGTGGAGCGAGTTGGGTAAAGCAAGGGAGGGAAACTAGAGAGGGGGTGTGGGGGTGTGGGTGGGGAAAGGGGAAGAGAGGAAGGATTGGGTCAAGGAAAGGCCTTGTTCACCAGCTGTTTGACAGTGAGGCTCTTGGGAATTTCTTTCTCATGGGCAACGTTCACTAGATTGTGGAGCGCATCAATATGTAATGGGCAGTAACGAGAGATTGGTGGGAAAGGGGAGAGGTGGGTGGGGTGGGGAGCCCCTCCGGATTAATTTTCCTTTCATGTCCTTTTTCTTTTTGTTTATTGTTTTTGTTTGCTTTACCGGCTTCGTTGTGAGTAGTTTGACTTTTTCCAAGGCGCAAGTTGAAGGAGGTGGTGTGGAAAGAGTGGAAGCAACCTTGCTGTGTCTTCTCTCTCCTACCACTTCTTTTCCATTGCCTTCCAGGTTTAAGCTGAACGAGGTTGTGGGGAAGGAGTGGGTCGACCAACAACGTTGCATCGTGCAGCAACACGCAGTGGCGTACCTTCAGGTGTCGTGGAGCAAGGTGAGGAGGCGAGGAATTTGCGGGAAGGAGGACAAGGGCGAGGTGAGGGTGGAGTGCAAATGCAGCATCGATTCGTGGAAAAGCATAGGGTGGCCTACCTTGGGAAAAGCATAGGGTGGCCTACCTTCGACTGTCGTGGAGCAAGGTGAGGAGGCAAGGAATGTGCAAGAAGGAGGAAAAGGGGGAGCTGGAGTGCAAATGGAGCAGCATTGGTTGGCGTAATGCAGGGGAGGAGTGTTGGGGGAGGAGGATGGGGGAGGGAGAAGGGGAGTGTGAGGTCTTAATGCAATAATGTAGTGCAGCAACGTGCAGTGGCGCATAGTGCACCAGCATGGAGTGATGCACCTTCGGGTGTCAAGGAACAAGGTGAGGAGGCGAGGGTTAACGGGGAAGGAGAGGCGGGGAGTGGGGGGGGAGGTGTGGGGGATGGTGGAGTTTGTTTACCCAACCCAAATCAACCATGACTTTACCTAGGCGAATACCTCAGCTCACTCGAGCTTCAGTCAATCCCATCGTTTTTACACAGCTCTCCTTACGGACACTGGGTTTATACTTCTGCTAAAGAGCAGCTCCTTTGAGGCACCTCAACGTCCCCTCTCACAGGCATTGCATGTGTATCATTAAGAGCAGCACCTGCCTCTTCCACTTCCTCCTCTACGTCCGCTAGTTTTCTTGAGTTTCAATCAATACAATCCTGTTTTCACAGCTTTCCACTCCCTCTTCACGCCCACCAGACCCCTTGAGCTTTACAATATTGTTTTCACACAACTTTCCCTCTCACACGCATGCGCTGTATGTCAGAACTGAAGCTTAGAATCCATGCATTAGTAATGAGCTTGAAGCTCTTTAAGTACATCCAAGATGGGCAAGGAAAGGATGGAAAAGGGAATCAGGTGCAATCTCTAGGGATTGGGGGTAATCCCAAGGCAATCTCCAATTGGTGGGTTGGAGATTACATGGAAAACGCATTTGGAACTGGTTGGGATGTAGACGCACACCTTACCAAACACAGAGTGCAAACTACACTGCGCTATGATTTAGAAAGTACAAAATATAAAGTGTGAGATTTAGGGCTGACACTAACACTGAACACTTCTGGTGATTTAGCAGCACCTGCAACTTCCACTCCCTCCCTTACGCCCGCCAGATTCATTCACAACTAAAGCCGGCAGGGCTGTTAGAGGAGGGCATGGAGAGCATTGCACGCTGCAACGCTGTCAAGGAGAGGTGCGAGGGGAGTGAAAAATGGGGAGGAGGGGGGGGAAGAGGAGGTGGAGTGGATGGGGAGCGGGAAGAGATGTGCGAGGAGTGACAGGGCTGTCAGGTCAGCGGGTGGCAAGGAGGGCATTGCGCGCTGCAACGCTGTGAAGGAGAGGTGCGAGTGGGGAGGGAAAGGTGGGGGGAAAAGTGGGGGAGGGGGAGGATGGGAGTGCGCCGGGAGCAGACGGGGAAAAAGAGATGTGGAAAGCTCACAAAGTGGAGGGCTATCAGAGGAGGGCATTGTGAGGCGCAACGCTGTCAAAGAGAGGTGGGAGGGTAGGGGAGTTAGGTGCGAGGTGGGCAATGGGGAAAATCTAAATCAGTATCAAACCCTTAACAATCAGCAAGCACGACCCTTGTACAGGCAAATCTAACACTTGTATAGCAACAAAGGAGTGTACAGGTATGTGCTCCACACCACTTGCCTTGTTCACGCACTCTTGACGGATCGGCGTGGGAAATGGGGCCGGATTCACTCTTGAGGCGCCTCAAACATTGGTGTGGTACATGGGGTCGATGGCGTGGTTAATGAATCATTATTGAGAGCTGCATCGCTCGCCATGCATGTCAACGCATCTACTCTCCTGCCTTTCTCAACTTTCCTGCCATTCTCAACTCTCCTGCCATCCTCTCCTCCTTCCCCTCCTCCCTTTTCCAGGTTCCGCGTCTTCAACGCCACGTTTGAGGAGCTGCATCGCACGCAGTGCATGTGGAAGATTCCCGACCCTGAGCTGCGAAAGGCCCTGCAGGACAAGATCTCCAGGTTCCTGCTTCCCAAGTACCGCTCCTTTCTGCAGTGCTGCACGTGAGTGAGTTGCCTACCGCTACTTTCTGCAGCACATGAGTGCATGTGGAAGATATCAAATCTTGAGCTGTGAACCGCCCTGCAGCAAAAGATTTCCAAATATCTTTTTGCCCAAATATCGCTCCTTTCTGCAGTGCTACACGTGAGTTGGCTGAAAGGTGAGGTGCTGCTGTGCTGCACGTGAGTTGCTGGCTGCTCCTTGGTGCAGCGAGCAATACACGTGAGTTGCCGCCATGTGCTGCTGCTCCTTTGTCCTCTGTGTGCACCTGCATGTGCTGCTGCTCCTTTGTCCTCTCCTGCATGTGCTGCTGCTCCTTTGTCCTCTGTTTGCACCTGCATGTGCTGCTGCTCCTTTGTCCTCTCCTGCATGTGCTGCTGCTCCTTTGTCCTCTGTGTGCACCTGCATGTGCTGCTGCTCCTTTGTCCTCTCCTGCATGTGCTGCTGCTCCTTTGTCCTCTGTGTGCACCTGCATGTGCTGCTGCCCGCCTGCATGTGCTGCTGCCCGCCTGCATGTGCTGCTGCGGTCACATCTTCTCTCTTGTCTCTCCCCCTCCTACCCCTCACCCATCAGCCCGGTGCTGAGGAACGCCAGTCGCTTTGGGCACAGCAGCGAGGAGGCCAGGAGCACATTCGCTTCATCTCACACCGGTCTCTTGTCCCTCTCCATCCCCTCCCTTCTCCCCCCATCAGCCCGCTGTTGGACAGTGGCAGGCGCTTAGGCAGCAGCAGCAGAGAGGAGGCCAGCAAGCACATTTGCTTCATCTCACGCCTTTCTCTTGTCTCTCTCCATCCTCTCCCCTCTCTCTCTCCATCCCCTCCCCTCTCCAATCATTAGCCCGCTGTTGGACAGTGGCAGGCGCTTAGGCGGCAGCAGCAGCAGAGAGGAGGCCAGCAAGCACATTCACTTCATCTCACACCTTTCTCTTGTCTCTCTCCATCCTCTCCCCTCTCCCCCCATCAGCCCGCTGTTGGACAGTGGCAGGCGCTTAGGCAGCAGCAGCAGGGAGGAGGCCAGCAAGCACATTCGCTACACGGCTGAAGACCTTAGGGTGCTGCTCGGGGAGTTCTTTCGGGGGAAACCCGCACCAACCTCAGCCCAGCCCGAGGCCCGTTAGAGTCTAGTGCTGCTCGGGGAGTTCTTCCAGGGGGAACCCGCACCAACCTCAGCCCAGCCCGAGGCCCGTTAGAGTCTAGTGCTGCTCGGGGAGTTCTTCCAGGGGGAACCCGCACCAACCTCAGCCCAGCCCTAGGCCCGTTAGAGTCACTAGTGCTGCTCGGGGAGTTCTTCCAGGGCACGGAGAGCAGCAGCATTCTCGTAGCCCAGCCCTCTGCTGCACAATAGGCCCACCAGAGCCCCACCCACACATCCCCCACTCGTGCCCCACACATCCCCCACTCGTGCTCCACTCGTGCCCCACACATCCCCCACTCGTGCTCCACTCGTGCCCCACACATCCCCCACTCGTGCTCCACTCGTGCCCCACACATCCCCCACTCGTGCTCCACTCGTGCCCCACACATTCCCCACTGAGGTTATTGACTAGCTGTTCCGCGAGGTCCAAGGCAGGGAGAGCACGCAGCAACCTCGTAGCCCAGCCCTCTGCTGTACGCTAGACCCACTCGTGCCCCACACATGCTCCCCATGTACTGCGGTTTGGCGTGCTGCTGCTCAAGCTCTTCCAAGGCAGGGAGAGCTGAAGGGTCCTCATAGCACAGCTCTCTGCTGCACGATAGACCCACACACGCTCCCCCCCACATACTGCCGTTGCTGACTCGCTGCTCCGCGAATTTCAAGGCAGGGAGAGCTGCAACGTCCTCATAGGCCCGCCCCTGCTTCACTCTAGACTCACTCGTGCATACTGTAGGTGAACAGTTACCAGCAATGTTATGGGGAGCACCTACTGTTATCCCCCAGATATTGGCGCGCTGCGCATGCGCTTATACAGAGATAAGCGCACCTACGATAGATTCGATAATGCACTCCCCATTTTCAGAGAGCAGTCAGCTTCTGTCATGCTTTGAATTGTCCCGTACTCTTCTTATAAATTCTTTCAAGCGCACCCGTAATATTCACTAATAGCATGCTGACTGGGTGTCCATACATTGATTTTGCTGACTTGTTCACCCCTTTCTTGAGCCAGATAGGTAGGAGCCTGACACGTGACATTGAAGGGTGCATCTCATCAATTGGATGGAAGGCAGAGCTGGGGCCCAGTGCTGTGATGCCACGTTTCAAACGCAACCAACGTCAGCATATTTCTGATAACTAGCCAAGCTATTGGTGCTCAGCCGTCGTACTTCCGAAATGTTTGGATAACGAGAAGGTTTTTGTTTTGCGAGGGAATTTGTCCCCGTGTGTCTGTCACGTAGAGAAGCCTAGCTGTATTTCAAGGCTTTGGGGCCAGGCGTTGTGGTCAAATTCCCCCAGATTCTTTGGTGGGTACACAAACATGATTTGGGCCAACATAAACATAAGCGCAACCACTCCCAGTCTCAGACTGCAAGCAGAGCTCCACTACCCATTTTCACTGAGGAAACTGAGTGAACTAGTACTTATGCCCGACTAAAACCCTTGATTCGCTCGAGAACACACGCATCTGCTGACGCGGCAGTACTGCCAACACACGCGCGGCGAGCCGAGCTCGAATCAGAGCTCGCCTCCTGCTTGCGTGGCTCCGACCATCCTCCCAAATCCGCGGCCTCTCCCCCCTCTCACTTTTTCCATCTTGCGAGTCCCAAGGCACCTCGGTTTCTGCGCGAGGACTAAAGCCGAGGTAAGTTATCACAGAACACTAATTTCCGTTTTTTTCCCACGCCATTTCCCAAGGACACAATTCTCTCAAGCAGAGATCAGCGTTTGCATTGCACAGCAGCTTCTTCTCTCGACCTCTGCTTTTTTTCTTGATGGCCCTCTCGGCTTCCTCTCTCCGCAGTGCCGCTCTCAAGCCCTCTGCAGCACCGAGCCCGTCGCCCAACCACCTCTCGTCAGACTTCTCTGGTCGCCGCGTCGTCGCATTGCCGAAAGCGACCGTTTCGCGCAACTCGCGTGTCGCACGTCGCGGCGTCGTGAGAATGGGGCTGACGGAGAACGGCCCGTCGGTGGCGGTGGTGGGAGTGACGGGCGCGGTGGGCCAGGAGTTTCTTCAGGTGCTCGCGCAGCGCGACTTCCCCTACAGCTCGCTCAAGATGCTCGCCAGCTACCGATCCGCCGGGAAGAAGTTCGACTTTGACGTAAGGCCCGCTTCCAGGTTCGGGGGTCTGCTTCCAGGTTCGGGGGTCTGCTTCCAGGTTCGGGGGTCTGCTTCCAGGTTCGGGGGTCTGCTTCCAGGTTCGGGGGTCTGCTTCCAGGTTCGGGGATCTGCCTCCAGGTTTGGGGATCTGCTCAGTGGTCGGGGGAAGCGCGTCGGGTGCTCCGCATGCTCTTGAAGCCAAGCCATGGATGCCAGTCATTGGATGTCAGCCTCTAGATGTTAGTATCTGCGCGATCCACGACCAGGTCCTCTGAGATATACACCCCGCATTCCCCGTTGCTCGCGCTTCCTCTCCTCCTGCTCGCCTTTACACTGCCTTCAAGGCGCCTCCATGTGTTCGGGGTCCCTTAGACTCCCTTAGACACCGTGTCCGTTCTTTCCATCAATAGCAGGGCCGCATGTTCACGGTGGAGGAGCTCACACAGGCGAGCCTCATTATGGCGCTGCATTCCCTTCTACCTGCATCAGCTCGGCCTTCTCCACCCCTCTCCACCCGTCTCTACCCATTCACCAACCGCAGCGCCACACGTACACAGTAGAGGAGCTTACAAGGGCTTCAACTCGTTTTTACACATCTCCACCTCTCTCCACCCCTCTCCACCCCTCTCCACCCCTCTCCACCCGTCACGACCTATGCTTCGATCGCAGGGCCGCACGTTCACGGTGGAGGAGCTCACAGAGGAGAGCTTCAAGGGCATCGACATCGCGCTCTTCAGCGCCGGCGGTTCCATCAGGTACGCTGCTGCCCTCCTGGCCCCCCGCTAGTGCGTGGATTCGCCTATCAGGACATCACCAAGCCAGTGATCGACTACACCTCCGCTGCTTCAAGGGCATCGACATCGCGCTCTTCAGCGCCGGCGGTTCCATCAGGTACGCTGCTGCCCTCCTGGCCCCCCGCTAGTGCGTGGATTCGCCTATCAGGACATCACCAAGCCAGTGATCGACTACACCTCCGCTGCTTCAAGGGCATCGACATCGCGCTCTTCAGCGCCGGCGGTTCCATCAGGTAAGCGGCTGCTCCGTGGCGGCCTTGGCTCGTGCATGTACTCACCCAGCAGCTGATCCAGTCATCATTCAACAAGTGATCGCGCATCAGGTCAGCGTGTTCACACCGCTGCAGCTTCAAGGGCGTCCACATTGCTCTCTTCAGCGCCAGTGGCTCCATGGGGTAGGGTGCTGCGCTGCCGATCTCCGCCCTCCGCTCTCCGCTCTCCGCCCTCCGCCCTCCGCTCTCCGCTCTCCGCTCGCGCATGTATTTATTAAGCAGCGGATCACTCACCACGCCATCGCTCGGCACGCCATCGCTCGGCACGCATTCACGCATTACGCCTCCGCGTTCACGCATCATCTGCTGCAGATCCGATCTTGCGCGATCATCCTGTGCGACCCTCTGCGATCCTCGGCGATCCGCTGCGACACTCGCTCGCGGCTACATTCTCTTTGGTCTCGATCATCCTTTGCGCGCGCGATGACTCGTGCGAGCGATCATCCGATCATCCCCGATGCTATTCGAAAAGCCTTGCAATACGCTCGTGGCGCCGGCCAAAGCCTGCTCCGAGTGCTTGATCGCCCGCGCAGCAAGAAGTTTGCGCTGGCGGCGGTGGCGGAGAACACGATCGTGGTGAAATGAAACAGAGCAGCCCTTTGCCCGTTTCCCCCCCCTCTCGTTCACCCTCCTCCTTCCCTTCCTCCCCCACCCCCCACCCGTGCTTCCGCGCAGAAGGAAGTTTGCGCCGACGGCGGTGGCGGAGAACACATTGTGGTGACACAGAGCAGCCCTTAACCCGTTTCCCCCCTCTCGTTCACCCTTCCCCTTCCCTTCCTCCCCCTTCCCCCTCCCCCCTTGCCCCCAACCCCCCCACCCCCCACCCGTGCTTCCGCGCAGCAAGAAGTTTGGGCCGGCGGCGGTGGCGGAGGGCACGATCGTGGTGGACAACAGCTCCGCTTTCCGCATGACGGACGGCGTGCCGCTCGTCGTTCCCGAGGTGCGCTGGTTTGCGCTGGTTTGTAAAGGTAAACGAGTTGACGGTGCTCGCTGATAGCATCAAGGGAAGCGCATCGGTCGACTCACCCTTGAGTTCAGGTGGACGAATGACGGGCGGCGTGCCGCTCGTCGTTCCCGAGTGCTGTTTTGTGGTGAGAGAGTTCTGCCCGAGGTGTTGTTTGTGTTTTTTTTTTTTTTTTTGGGAATTCTCAAAATCGCTCACAAGGTGCGTCTGCGGTAATGCCGCGCGACGCCGTGCGCGAGGAACTGTCGAGCGCACAATCCCTTGCCCACGCCTTCCCCGCAACGTTATGAAGCCCGTCCAGCTCCGCGCGCATCCAGCTCCGCGCGCATCCAGCTCCGCACACGCCTTCCCCGTCGCGCCCTCCCCCCGATGAACCCGGACGCGATTGCGCATGGCAAGCTGGAGGGCAGTGGCGGAAGTCGCGCTCACATGTTCCCGACGCCTTCCGCGAACGCCTTCCCCATCTTTCCCCCTCCCTCCTCACCCTCGCACAGGTGAACCCCGGCGCTATGGTGCACATCAAGCTGGGCGGCGGGGGCGCCACCCGCTCCACTGTCTCCCCTTCCCCACTATCTCCCCTCTCTCCCCCCTTCCCCGCGCGCCCACTCCCCTTTCCCCCCCTTAGGTGAACCCCGAGGCCATGGCGCACATCAAGCTGGGCAGCAGCGCCACAACCATCCGCCCCAATCTCCCTCCCCTCAACTCTCTTTTTTTCCCGTCTTCCGCGCGCCCCTCCTCCACCCCCCCCCCCCCCCCCCACAGGTGAACCCCGAGGCCATGGCGCACATCAAGCTGGGCGGCGGCGGCGCCATCATCGCGAACACCAACATCTCTCCCCTCAACGTCACCCTCCCGCCCAATCTGCGCGCGCCCGCTCACCCCTCCCCCCCCCTCGCCCTTCCCCCCCCACACAGGTGAACCCCGAGGCGATGGCGCACATCAAGCTGGGCGGCGGCGGCGCCATCATCGCGAACCCCAACATCCCTCCCCTCAACGTCACCCTCCCGCCCAATCTGCGCGCGCCCGCTCACCCCTTCCCCCCCCTCCCCCCCGCCCCAACAGGTGAACCCCGAGGCCATGGCGCACATCAAGCTGGGCGGCGGCGGCGCCATCATCGCGAACCCCAACTGCTCCACCATCATCTGCCTCGTCGCCGTGACGCCCATCCACCGCCGCGCCAAGGTGACGCAATGATATGGGCGATGGTCAAGGGGGGGAAGAGGGGAGACGGGGCGACAGGTAGAGGTGAGGCGGGGAGAAGGGGAGATGAAGAGTCGGAAAGAGGGGAGACGACGAGAGGGGAGACGGGGAAGATGGTGAACCGTGCGAGGGGTGTGGGTGATGCTGGTTGACTGTCCTCCGTGCTGTGCCTCACAGCTGAACGCCCTATCACGCTATCCCCAACCAACCACGCTTCGCTCTCTTCCACCCCTCCCAGGTCTCCTCCCCTCCCTCGCCTCACCTCCCCCTGTTCCCGTCCCACTCTGTCGGCCCATGACGCCACCTCGTGCCCTGTTTCCCCTCAAATGACAGCATCATGCGATTTCTGCGTCGCTTCAAAAATTACCTCGTGCCCTTCTTCCCGGGCTCTGGTGACAGCACCATCCCCCACCACGCACGTTACAGGTCTTTTCTCACTCACCCGCTCCTTCCTTCCCCCCCTTTCCCCTTGGCCCCCCCTCTTCAGGTGAAGCGCATGGTGGTGTCGACCTATTAGGCCGCCAGTGGCGCGGGCGCCTTATGCTCGCACTCACCTTCGTTCCTTCTCCCCGTTCCCCCCTTTTTCCCCTTCCCCCCCTCTCCACCCCTCCAGGTGAAGCGCATGGTGGTGTCGACCTACCAGGCCGCCAGTGGCGCGGCCGCCATGTGCTCGCACTCACCTTGTTCCCTCGCCCCCCACTTCCCCATTCCTCCCTTTTCCCCCCTCCTCTCCCCACCCCTCCAGGTGAAGCGCATGGTGGTGTCGACCTACCAGGCCGCCAGTGGCGCGGGCGCGGCCGCCATGGCGGAGCTGGAGCTGCAGACCAAGGAGGTGCGCGCGCGGGGGGGAGGGGGATATGGGGAAATGGGGGATACGGGAAGGGGGATATGGGAAAGGGGAATGCAGGCGAGGGACCAAAGACGGCGCGGCTGCCATGGCGGAGCTGGAGCTGCAGACCAAGGAGGTGCGCGCGCGGGGGGGGATGGGGGTGAAGGGGGGAGGTTGGTAGGGAGATAGGGGGAATGCGGGCAAGTGGGCAAACGAGGGTGCAGCCATGGCGGAGCTTGAGCTGCAGACCAAGGAGGTGCGCATAAAAAGGGGGGGCTGGTTGGGAAGGGGGATGTGGGGAAATGGGGGATACGGGAACGGGGATATGGGGAAATGGGCATCTTCTCGTGCTTACATATCACCTTACCCCATATCCCTCTCTTCCTGCCTCTGTCCCTGTCTGCCTGTGTGTGTGTGTGCCTGTGTGCCTGTGTCCCTGTGAGAGCAGGTGCTAGAGGGCAAGCCACCCACCACCACCATCTTTGGCCGCCAGGTAACCATGCCACGTCACGCCATGCCATGCACATCACCCCATCCACGCCATGCCATGCCATCACACCACACTGCCCCCTCCCATCTGCCCGTGAGGGGCAACGGGTACAAAGAACGAGGAGTATTGACGCGCTTCACAACCCCTCTTTCCTTGCCCTGTCCCCACTTTCTCCCCCTGCTCCCCTCTCCCTCTGTGTGCTCGCGCTCAGTACGCGTTCAACCTGTTCTCGCACAACTCGCCCATGACAGGCAATGGGTACAACGAGGAGGAGATGAAGATGGTCAAGGAGACGCGCAAGATCTGGGTGAGTCATGTGCCAAGCACGGGTGAGAGCGAGGTGCGGCAGGCGTGGGTGGGAGGTGTGGGTGGGTGCTATGCATGGGTGGCACGCCTTCTGTATTCTCTTGACGGCTCTCTGCAACGGTGAGGAGATGAAGATGGTGAAGGGGACGCGCAAGATATGGCCGAGTCATGTGCCGCTTGTGGGCGGGAGCCTGGGAGCGAGGCGTAGGAGGTCCGCGTGGGGAGATGTGCGTGGGTGCCAAGCATAAGTGGCAATCCTGCTGTATTCCCCTGACGACTCTACAACGAGGGGGAGATGAAGCTGAATGAATTTCTCTCCCCCAGAGTGACCCGTCAGTTGCAGCCACAGCCACGTTCGTTCCAATCCCTCTCTCTCCTGTGCATGCAGAGCGACCCCTCAGTGGCCGTCACAGCCACGTCCATCCGAGTGCCAAAGATGTGCGCTGTCTCACTCATCTCCCCTGCCTGTGCTGCTGCTGTTTCCCCCATTCTCCCCCCCCCCCCGCCTCCCTCTCTCTCCTGTGCATGCAGAGCGACCCCTCAGTGGCGGTGACAGCCACGTGCATCCGAGTGCCGGTGATGCGCGCCCATGCAGAAAGCATCAACCTAACATTGGAGGAGCCGCTGTCTGAGGTGCGTGAGAGGGGGGGTGGAAGGGTGCTGGTGGGAGGGTAAGTGTGGGATGAGAGGTGTGGTGATGCGCGCCCATGCAGTGAGCATCAACCTCACACTTGAGGAGCCGCTGTCTGAGGTGAGAGAGGGGGAGAGGGCGTGTGTGCACTGAGTGATAGAAATCTCACCTACCATGTGTGATGCGCGCCCATGCAGAGAGCATCAACCTCACACTGGAGGAGCCGCTGTCTGAGGTGAGGGGGATGGATAGCAGAGGTGTGCTGCGACTGTGACGTGTGCAGTGAGGTGTGCTTTGAGGTGTGTGATATGAGAGCTGTGATGGAAAGTGTGCGATGGGTAGGCACCATGCATGCTGGATGCACAAGGGTAATTGCCCCTCATATCCATAAATGCTTGGGCATGGAATGCTACTGTCACCCCATGCACCTTCCCACCCCATCCCATGCACCTTCCCACCCCATCCCATGCACCTTCCCACCCCATCCCATGCACCTTCCCACCCCATCCCATGCACCTTCCCACCCCATCCCATGCACCTTCCCACCCCATCCCATGCACCCTTCCACCCCGTACACTTCCCAACCCCATGCACCTCCTCCCCGCATGCCTCTCTGTGCTCCTCGGTTCTGGCAAGTAGAGGCAAAGGAGATTATGAGCGGTGCAGAGGGGTTGTTCCTCATTGACCCGACTGCCCCGTGCATCTCCCCGTCTGCTCCCCCATGCACTTCACTCTCCCCCACGCACTTCACTCTTCACCATGCACCTCCATGTGCCTTGGCCCTGGCAGGTGGAGGCGAAGGAGATTCTGAGCGGTGCAGAGGGGTTGTTCCTCATTGACGACCGTGACACCAACACCTTCCCCACGCCGCTTGATGTGAGCTGCGCCCGATAGCTCTTGATTCGCTGCCTCAAAGATCACATCTCGTTGCAGTGCCGCACCTCTTGGTATCACACCTGCATCGCCATGCAAATGTGTCAAGTCGCCTGTATGACTTCCATGTGACCCATGCGCATGCATTACCCTTGTCATCCACCATCCCAACCCATCCCGTCCCATCCCAACCCATCCCGTCCCATCCCAACCCATCCGATCCGCATGTGCCCGCCAGGTATCCAACAAGGATGACGTGGCGGTGGGCCGCATTCGGCAGGACATCTCGCAACCCAACAACAAGGGGTGAGGCGGAGGGGATGGAGGAGGGAGGAGGCAGTGGGGCAGGAGGGGGCAAGGGGCAAGAGAGCATGGCTGAGGTTGATGTTAAGAGGGGGGATGAATGGTGGTTAAGTGAAACTTGGAGATGCCTCAAGCACCACTTGTAAAAAGAGGAAAACATGCAATCTGGAAACGAGCAGTGAGGTGGAGAAAAAGGGGATATGGAATAAAGTTGACTACTTTCTCCCCTTCCCCTTGCTAGTCATCCCCGGGTGCTATAACCTCTCTTGCTTTCTGCTCCCCCATCCACCCCCTCTTCTAGACCATGTGTGCAAGGCTAGATCTATTTGTCTGTGGCGACCAATCTCCACTCGAATCAATAGTCCCTCCATTCCTCCCGCCCTCTCTCTGTCCACGCCAGCCTGGACCTGTTTGTATGTGGCAATCAGATGCGCAAGGAAACAGCCCTCAATGCATCAATGCTGTGCAGATAGATTAGTCATTTCCTTATCCTGCTTGCCTCTGCCCCTCCCCACCTCCCACCTCCCCACCCACACCAGTGTGGTAACCAGATCCGCACTTTGTGGAAACCTCACCAGTCTGTACCTGTTTGTGTGTGGCAACCAGATCTGCACTTGGCAACCTCACTCTTTCTTCTCTCTTTCCCGCATCCGCCTACCACTGTCCCCTCCACTCCACTCATACCAGCCTGGACCTGTTTGTGTGTGGCAACCAGATCCGCAAGGGAGCGGCCCTCAACGCCGTGCAAATCGTAGAGCTGGTGTTTGCCTGCTTTATTCCCCTTCATCCCTCCCACACTCCCTCTTTCCTCCCCCCACCCACACCACTCTGGACCTGTTTGTGTGTGGAGACCAGATGCGCAATGTGTGTGTGTGGAGACCAGATGCGCAATGTGTGTGTGTGGAGACCAGATGCGCAATGTGTGTGCCACCCTCACTCTTTTTCTTCTCTGTCCTTCCCCTTTCCCAAATTCGCCTACTTGTCCCTTTCCCTCCCACACTCCCACTTGTCCCTTTCTCTCCCATACCAGTCTAGACCTGTTTGTGTGTGGCGACCAGATCCGCAAGGGAGCGGCCCTCAACGCCGTGCAGATTGCCGAGCTGCTCGTCAAGAAGGCCGGCGCTGCGTGATGGGAGAGGCACACAGCGGGCGTTGCTGTGCAGCAAGCGACGTGATGATGGGCAAAGCGTGATGGGCAAAGCGTGATCGGCAAAGCGTGATGGGCAAAGCGTGACGGGCATTTCTGTGAAATGGACGTAGCATGGCAGGCAGGGCTTTTGTTAGGAGCATGGTGTGAGGGGTGATATGATATGTGAAGGGTGTAGGGCGAGTTAGCAATTAGGGCAGAACAAGGCGATCATTATTGTGTGATCCACCAAGACTGCACGGAGTAGGGAGTGAGCTTAGAGAAAGTAGCTTCACCGGTCGCCAATTGTATTGGCGCTGATTCTCTGTTGGTGTGTTTCGTATGGGTGTACCGTCATCGCCCGGATATAAGACATATATGTCTTATCTCGTACACGGGCAAAAATGCTTGAGTTATCTTGTAAACGGGATGGTTTAGGGTGTCTTATAAATCTTATAAATGGACAAAGAACCGTTTAGAAGATACCCCCTCGCTATACATTTGCCCCTAACTCCTACACTTTCTTAACCCGTACACACAAATAGGTGTCTTATAATGAGGATAGCCCAGGGCCTCAGATATCAGCGTAAAACACGCTGATTACGCTGATTTTGTAGCTCTGAATTTCGTTTTCCCTGAAAAATCAGTAAATGCTTCCATTATGGGCTGAAATTTCAGTATATGTGATTTTGCCACACTGACGATTATGTGTGTTTCTGAACAAGTAACACTGACGAATCAGCATACTTCAGTGCGTCACCCTGAAACGGACTTGACCGCGCGGGTGGGGGGGGGGGGTAAGTTACGCATGTACAGATTATACCTTTCCGTGTCACGAAACCCACACACTTCGCATGTGCTGCGCAGATACTGTATCAGGTGCGCTCCGATGTGTGTGGACCTGATATCTTTCGCCTTGCTGGAACCTACGGTATCACAGTAACAACAGCACACACCTTGCACTAGTGTTTCAGCTGTTAGTTTTTTTTTTACACTGTTGGTTCAGTTTACTTATGATTTTCACACTGGCAAAATCAGTAAAAAAAAATCCGTGAACGCTGATTTGGACACCTCGTTGGCCGGGGCACGCTGATCCATCAGCATACCCTCAAACCAATCTGAGGGCCTGGGCTAGCCTGTTTATAAGAGACACCCGTATAATAGACAACCCCTGTCTACTACCGGTATTCAACACTGTCTTATATCCGGGTGATGACGGTATGTGTTATTGCAGAGGCTAACCGTCTGTAGTGTATCCCTGAAATTGTGCTACCATGGGTACCATGTTCTACAAGATTGCGTACTAACAATTGGTTGCTACCATGATGATGGACCAACTAGCATGTTGAAACTGTTTCAATCAGAAATGCGCGTCAAAAAGATGGTCAGGCAGGGTTGATGCAAGTGTGGGAATGTCGTAAAATGGTGGGATGAGATTACCGGTAACAGCCATGTACCCCCGGAGGGGGACGTTTCGCTTACAGCTAAATCACAGTAACTGTAAGGATTTACAAATCCTTACTGAGGCACTCGTTAGCGAGGCCATCCCGAGGGCCACGCGACCAACTGGTTCGGCCTACAATTTCGCATCCAAACCTCACCGAGCCGCCTCTGTCAAACATATATGTATGTTATATTTGTGTAGGCTGTAGTGGGGTAGCCAATATGGAGTACAACCCCATTAGGGCTTCACATTTGTACCCAACTTTCTGTTAGTGCATCTTATTCCTGTCTCTAGTTTCTGACATGGTTTCAGAGCAGTAGGTCCGTAGGACCGTTTTTTTTTTTTTTTTTTTTTTTTTTCCGGGCCCACTTACGGTACCGCTACCCCACGCCTGTGACCGTGACGTGCTGCGTTGCGCGCGCCGTCTGCCTACTGCCTGCTGCCTAGTGTGCTGTCTGCTGCTGCTTCGCGCGCAGACCTAAATCGCGCACGCTGCCCGCTGCTGCCCCGCACGCGCTTAGCTGCTGCCCCGCGCGCTGTCCAGCTGCCCGCGTCGAGCCCGCGCAGCCAGCGCGCGCGGCCCGCAGCTGCCCCGCGCACCGCCCGCGTAGCCCACGCCGAGCCCGCGCAGCTCGCGCCGAGCCCGCATAGCCCGCGCGCGGCCCGCAGCTGCCCCGCGCACCGCCCGCGCAGCCCGCGCCGAGCCCGCGCAGCCCGCGCGCGGCCCGCAGCTGCCCCGCGCACCGCCCGCGCAGCCCGCGCCGAGCCCGCGCAGCCCGCGCGCGGCCCGCAGCTGCCCCGCGCACCGCCCGCGCAGCCCGCGCCGCTGCGGCCCGCCGCAGCCCCGTGCGCCGCCCTACATGCTTGTGCCGCGCCTCCGCAGCCTGCACGCGGCCTGCTGCTGCCTCGCGCGCTGCTTGCACTGCCTGCGGCTGTTTTGCGCGCCGCCCTTGCCTGCTGCTTGAGCCTTCTGCCTTTGCCTGCTGCCTTCGCCTACTGCCTTTGCCTGCACTGCGATTATGGCGACGTTTAACGTTCTCGCGTTTGAGCTTGACGGTCGCCCGATAGAATTCGTCACCTGACTCGACGACCTCACACTGTTTCTTATGACTGACGCCACGGACGACATTTCACTGTTCGATCACACGTCTGGCACTGCCGTTGCTCCTGCTGACAATGCCCCTGCTCTAGACCGCTCACGGTGGCAGACTCGCGATGCTGCTGCACGCCTCGCTATTCGCAATTATCTGCCAGTCACTGAGCGCGCGCATTTTAGCTAGCACAAGACTGCTAAGGCACTGTACGACGCTGTAGTTGCGCGCTACTCCTCCCCGGCCACTGCAGCGTTAGGCCGTCTCATGCTACCCTACCTGTTCCCCGACCTGTCCTCGTTTCACACTGCTGAGGACCTCATCGCTCACCTGCGCGCTAGTGACACTCGCTTCCGTAGCGCCCTTACAGACGAGTTCCTCGCCAAGAACACCCCTCCGATGTACTTTACGCTCTACTTCCTCGTCACCCGCCTCCCTGACACTCTTCGCTCAGTCAGGGACCACTTTCTCGCTCTAGACCCTACCGCTCTCACCGTCGACGACTTCGAGACGCAGCTACTTGCAGCTGAGAAGAACATCCTTGCTGTAGGTGCAGCTCGTGGCACTCCGCGCACTCCCCTCTTTGAGGGGTGCTCCCCCTCCCCCCTCGCGCCCTCCCATGCCTCTGCTGCTACTGCTGTCGACTTCCTCGGTGCTGAGGAGGTTGGGGCTTCTTCCGCTCCTAGTGGGAAGCGCCGCAGCGCCAGGGGCAGAGGGGCTGGGAGAGGAGGTGGAGGTGGCGGTGGAGGGGGCGGTGGTGGAGGCGGCGGGGGAGGTGGAGGAGGTGGGGGTGGTCGGGGTGGTGGCGGTGGTGGAGGGGGTGGCGGTGGCACCGAGAGCAGTGGCGGTGGCAGCGGCGGTAGTGGGGGAGGAGCCAGTGGTGGTGGCAGCAGTGGTGGCCAGGGAAAGCAGCAGCAGCAGCCGCCGCAGCAGCAGCAGCAGCAGCAGCAGCAGCAGCCGCAGCAGCAGCAGCAGCAGCAGCGACAGCGCCAGGCCCCCTCGTCCCAGCAGCTTCATGACTGGAATGCCGGGCGTGGGGCGTCTGGGGGTGCTGGTCGCTGCCCCTATATCATTCGCGCAGGTCCCCGCGCTGGTCGCCCATGCAATGGCTTTCACACTGAGTTTCGCTGCTTTGCTCGGCTTAGCGACGCCTGGCGCGTCAAGTTTCCTGAGGCTACTGAGTTCCCCAACTGGGCAGACCTGCTTAGGCGTGGTGTACCTATCTTTGATCTTGACTATGATGCTATTCTTGCTGCCATGTATGCATTGACTGTTAGTGCTGAGGGTGACTGCTACTTGTGTGTGCCGCCTGACCCCGGTATAGACCCAGGTATAGCGCCTGCAGCCCTAGGTGCTAGTGAGTCTGCTCTCCCTGGTACTGCGTCCGCTCAGGCCTTGCACACCTTCACACTTGACTCAGGTGCTTCCCGCTGTTTCTTTCGTGACAGTACCACAGTCACACCCCTCCCTGCACCTGTTCCTGTCTCACTGGCTGACCCCTCTGGGGGCCCAGTGCTTGCACGATCCACCACTATGCTTCCCTGTCCGGTGGTCCCGTCTGGTGAGCTGTTTGGTTTCCACCTCCCCTCGTTCTCTACGAACTTGGTGAGCAACGCCGTCCTTCAGGATCACTGGGTTGACACCTGGACTCCTGGAGGACAGCGTGTGGCGATCTGCACGTGCTCTAGGACCGGCCGCCACCTGGCCACGTTCACACGTGAGCCTGGGTCCAGTCTGTACACCCTCACCACTGTGTCGCGCTACGCCCCTTTGTCTCCTCAGCTGTACGCGTCTGCTCAGGTAGCTACCCAGTGTGAGTGCCGCCGCCTGCTCAGGTAGGTACCCACGACACTCTCCTGTGGCACCACCGCCTTGGTCACCCCTCCCTGCCTCGCCTGCGTGGCATGCACTCTCGCTCCCTGGTTTCTGGTCTTCCCAGGTCTCTGCCTACCCTCCCTCCCTCGCCTGCGCCGCCCTGCATTCCTTGCGTCGAGGGGCGGCAGCGCGCCGCTCCTCACTCCTCCTCGTTCCCTCCCACAGAGGCTCCGCTGCAGACTCTCCACCTGGACGTGTGGGGCCCAGCCCGCGTCCAGGGGCACGGCCGCGAGCGGTACTTCCTGCTGGTTGTCGACGACTACACGCGAAACACCACGGTCTTCCCCTTGCAGCGCAAGGCGGATGTCCCTGCTGTTCTGATCCCTTGGATCCGTGCTGTTCGTCTCCAGCTCCGCGAGCGGTTCGAGTCGGACTTTCCTGTCCTGCGTCTGCACTCTGACAGAGGTGGTGAGTTCACCTCCGACCTCTTGCGAGCCTTCTGTGCGGAGCACGGCATCACCCAGTCGTTCACGCTTCCGGCCTCTCCGCAACAGAATGGGGTTGTTGAGCGCCGCATTGGCTTAGTCATGGAGGTCGCTCGCACCTCCATGATCCATGCAGCTGCCCCCCATTTTCTGTGGCCGTTCGCGGTCCGGTACGCCGCGCATCAGCTCAACCTCTGGCCCCGTGTCTCCTTGCCGGAGACCTCGCCCACACTGCTGTGGACGGGGAAGGTTGGCGATGCGTCGCGTTTCCGGGTCTGGGGTGCTCGTGCCTTTGTCCGCGATACCACCGCGGACAAGCTCTCCGCTCACGCCATTCCCTGCGTCTTCCTTGGTTTTCCTCCTGACGCGCCTGGCTGGCAGTTTTACGACCCCGCCTCGCGCCGTGTCTTTGCGTCTCAGGACGTCACCTTTGACGAGTCTGTTCCCTTCTACCGTCTCTTTCCCTACCGCACGCACTTCCCTTCGCACTCCCCGCCGCTCTTTCTCACTCCAGGTCCTCCCCAGGTAGACCCCCTCCCCGTGCCAGGTCCTGCTCCTTCAGGTGTTTCTCAGGTAGACCCTCCCGTGCCTGCGCCTGTTGAGGTCACTGGTGACTCAGGTCCTGCTGGGCGTGGTGCTGTCTTTGGGGGTGCTGGACCTGGGGGTGCGAGGCCTGGGGTTGCGGAGCCTGGGGGTGCGGAGCTTGGGGGTGCTGAGCCTGGGGGTGCGGAGTCTACGCGTGAGGAGACTGGGGGTACTGCGCCTGAGCGTGAGGAGCCTGAGGGTGCGGAGCCTGGAGGTGCTGAGCCTGAGAGTGACGAGACTGGAGGTACTGCGCCTGGGGGTGCTGTGTCTGGGGGTGCTGAGCCTGAGCGTGAGGAGCCTGGAGGTGCTGGCTCTGGGGGTGCGATGCCTGAGGGTACTAAGACTGCTGGTGCGAGGTCTCCTTGGAGTGGCCGCCTTCGTCCGCGTGTGCCTCTCACCTCACAGCAGCTGCACGAGTGGTACGGTCGCCGTCAGGGTCGCGCTACTGGAGCTCGGGGCTCTGCCGCTGGAGGTGCTTCTGCTGACGTCGCTGGAGCTGGGAGTGGTGCTGGTCCTTTGTCTACTGGAGGTGCTGGAGTCGCTGGTCCCGGAGGTGCTCGTACTGGAGGTACTAGAGCTGCTGGGGCTGGAGGTGCTGTTCTCGAGGGTGCTACTGCTGGAGACACTGCGGCTGGAGACCCTGGGACTGGGGGTGCCGGTTCTGGGGGTGCTGCTGCTGGTGACACTGAGGCTGGAGACCCTGGGACTGGGGGTGCCGGTTCTGGGGGTGCTGCTGCTAGTGGAGCTGGTCTTGGAGGCGCTGGTGCTGGGGGTTCTGGAGCTGCTGGAGGTGCTGGAGCTACTGGAGGTGCTGGAGCTGCTGGTGCTGGTGGCACTGCACCGCCGCGACTGTTCTTCGCTCCGCCGTCTCCGTCGTCTCAGCCACCGCCTGACTCTGTGCTTCGCCAGGTTCTTAGCCTCCCGTCTTCTACTAGTCTTCCGTTACAGCCTGGCTCACCGCTGCCTGCTCCTTCTCCTTACACTGAGCAGATAGAGGGTCTTGCTGAGCGTCGTGAGCCTGCGTCGCGTCCTGTCTTGCCTGTCCGTTCTGGTCGTTCCGGTCGTCGTGTTCCTCGTCCGCGTCAGCCGGCTGTCCCCGGCACACACCTCGTAGTCCGTCGTCCTTCCTCTGCTCCGCAGCCTGTTCCTCTGCCGTCTCCCCCTGCGTCCTCTCTGCCTGACGTTGCGGACCCTGAGTCTGACCAGTTTCGTGCTGAGCACCCTACTGTCACGCGTCTGTTAGCCACTGTTGTCACTGACCCGTCGTTTAAGTCTGCTGCTGCGTCTGCCTTGGTCGCTGAGCTTGTTGACTTTGCTGCTGCCTGTCGTCTCGACTACGCCGCTAGTCTTGTTGCTGGGTCTGAGTCTGTCTGTCCTCCGTCCATCGGGGGTGAGTGTGCTCTTGGCACGGACGTCCTTGAGGACAGACAGGAGGACCTTGAGTGTCTTGCGGCCGCTGCGCCTCATCTCGTGGCCATGCTGCTTGCCCCTGAGGGAGACCCGGATGCACCAGACATCCCGACCCTGCGCTCTTACGCTGAGGCGATCGCGGGCCCCTACTCCTCTCAGTGGCAGACAGCCATGGACGCAGAGATGGCATCCTGGAAGTCCACAGGCACTTACGTCGATGAGGTTCCCCCTCCTGGGGCGAACATCGTCGATGGCATGTGGATTTTCAGGGTGAAGCGGCCGCCGGGTTCTCCGCCTGTCTTCAAGGCTCGTTACGTTGCTAGAGGCTTTAGTCAGCGAGAGGGAGTTGACTTCTTCTAGACCTTCTCCCCCACCCCGAAGATGACCACTCTTCGGGTGCTGCTGCACATTGCCGCTCAGCGTGACTACGAGCTTCACTCTCTGGACTTCAGCACAGCCTTCTTACAGGGCAGTCTGCACGAGGAGATCTGGCTGCGTCGCCCACCTGGCTTCACTGGGTCGTTCCCTCCTGGTACCCAGTGGAGCCTCCGTCGGCCAGTCTACGGTCTCCGCCAGGTGCCTCGTGAGTGGCACGACACACTGAGGAGGACACTTGCGGCTCTTGGGTTTGCGCCTTCGACAGCTGACCCGTCGCTATTTCTGCGCACCGACACTTCACTGCCGCCGTTCTACATCCTCGTTTACGTCGACGACTTGGTATTTGCCACTGCTGACACTGAGGCTCTCGCCCTGGTGAAGTCAGAGCTGCAGAAGAGACACACGCGCACAGACCTGGGTGAGCTGCGCAGTTACCTTGGCTTGCAGATCACCCGGGACCGAGCACGCCGCACCATCACACTGACTCAGTCACACATGGTGCAGCAGGTCCTTCAGCGCTTCGGCTTCACCTGGTCCTCGCCACAGTCCACTCCTCTGGCTACAGGTCACTCGCTCTCAGCTCTACCTTCGGACGAGTCCGTAGAGCCGAGTGGTCCTTACCCAGAGCTAGTGGGCTGCCTCATGTACCTGATGACCTGCACTCGTCCTGACCTTGCGTACCCTCTTAGCCTTCTGGCACGCTACGTGGCTCCTGGTCGGCACCGAAAGGTGCACATGGATGCTGCAAAGAGGGTACTGCGCTACCTGTGCAGTACATCGAGCATGGGGCTCGTGCTTGGAGGATGGGGTGACGTTGTCCTCACTGGACACTCAGACGCGTCTTGGGTTGACGACCTGGCTACGCAGCGGTCGTCACAGGGTTACACTTTCAGCCTTGGTTCCGGCTCTGTTTCTTGGATGTCTACTCGCTCTTCTTCTGTTCTTGGCTCCAGTTGTGAGGCTGAGATCTACGCCACAGCCATGGCTGCACAGAAGTTACGCTGGCTCACCTACCTGCTGACTGACTTGGGAGAGAGGCCTCGTTCTCCTCCAGTTCTGTATGTCGACAACAAGGCCGCCATTGCCTTGTGTCAGGAGCACGAGCAGGCAGACACATCGCTCTGCGTTACTTCTTGGCTCGAGAGTTGCAGCAGCATGGTCAGCTTCGTCTTGCTCACGTGGCCACTCGGGCCAACACTGCTGATATATTCACCAAGGCACTTACGCTTCTGCACTTTGTTAGGCCTTGTGCCTCCGTTTCCGCACTTGCTGTAGACTTTGCTTGTACTGTGATCTACATATATATATACCTGCATGCTTGCTCTTGCTAGGTGGTGACCGCTGTGCTGTTATTGTTGCATATATACCTCTGCATGTGAACTGGCCTTGTGGCCCCTTGCTTGTGCTCAGTGTGTGTGGTGACGTTGTGATCCACCCTGAGCTTGCTTGCCTTTCTTGACTGGTCTTGTTCTCCCCCACTTTGCCTATGGGGGTGTGTCAAACATATATGTTATATTTGTGTAGGCTGTAGTGAGGTAGCCAATATGGGGTACAACCCCATTAGGGTTTCATATTTGTACCCAACTTTCTGCTAGTGCATCTTATTCGTGTCTCTAGTTTCTGACAGCCTCCACACCAATCGCGACCCTTCGCGAGCCAACTTTTCCCCACCTCCCCACCTAGCTAGCATTTCCCCTATTTAGGCCTCGCTACTTCATTGTTTCGTCATTCTAAAATTCTCATTCTCGTTATTCGATATTCTGCGCACTCTGACAAGTTCATTCATAACACCTGGTATCAGAGCTACTTTCCTAGCCTACCCCGCTTTTTAGAGTGTATTACCCCTCGGGGGGGGGGACGAGGAAGGATGTCTTGGGGTCCAGGAGTTGCGTAGGCCGGCCAGGAGAATGAGTTTCTTGCTCCTCGCGGCCATAGTTTTACGGGGCACTCCTTGGCACCACCGGATCCTTGCCTCGAACGGTCACGATCGACCGTGGCCTCCCTCCCCCCGGGCAACGGGCAGCAGTAGCTGTCGCGGCGTAAAGTGAGTTACTATTCCGCTGCGTTTTTTTTTTTTTTTTTTTTTTTTTTTTTTTTTTTTTTTTTCCCCACGATTTCGGAATTTTGTGCGGCAGCTGGCGTTAGCGAACCTGCGTCTGCTTCTGCACGAAGATTTCGGAAGTCGTCACGATGTGTGGCAGTTGACGCCGTCGGACCCAGGTCAACAGCTGCGCGATAATTTCGGAGTTCGTCTGATGCGGCAAGTAACGATGAAGGCTCATCGTCATTTGCGCGCATGACTCGCGGAATGTGTTTCGGCAGCTGGTGTCAGCGGTCGTGCGTCACTGTGGGCGAGATTTTCAGAGTCACAGTTGAAGAAATGGCAGCTGGGGGAACTCGCCAGGCGCAAATGGAGTTTAGCGTCCAAAAATATCGGTGGCGAGGAGAGACGACACTAGACTGCCCGACTTAGCGGGAGTTAACTGCCGTCCCGCCCGACCTGTTAAGTGCAGCGGCTTTTACTGCATGGCGGGCGCGTCATCGAAGATTTTGGCAGGAGTGCACGTGGACAGACGGGATTTTTGGACCCGCCGACACTTACGGGCTGCAACGAAAAGCGGAGTGGCCATATCGCACTTAGAAGAAGTGGGGCGCAGGCGGCGAGGGGAACCGGGGCCGGTAACCTCGGAAAACGACTCGTACGACGCTGCGTGCCTGGAGTTGTTGCAAGCTGGCCGGCAGATTCGAGAGCGGTTTCTGTCAAGAATACTAGGCAGGAATCAGAAATAGGAAAGGGGGTTTTCACTAGGAGACAGTTGAGTACATATAGCAAACCCTAATTCAGGCTGTACTCGCTATAGAGTACCCCACTGCAGGCTAGACAAACATCACATTCTGACACACCCCCATAGTCAAAGTGGGGTATAATCAGCACAACAAGCAGGCAGAGCAATAGTTCACAATTATAAGCAAAGCTAGAGGCAATCACGGAGAGCAAGTGAGGAGGAGGAGAAACTGCGGGGGCGAGAAGATGGGAGGCGACGGCTGAAGCTGCAGACACACGGGCAACAGGAGTGCGCAGCACTGTCGCTACCAGGCTAAACCCGGACTACACGGCGACAGGCGCAGCTGGCTCGCTGTGCTCCCAGGAGTGCGCAGCACTGTCGCTACCAGGCTAAACTCGGACTACACGGCGACAGGCGCAGCTGGCTCTCTGGACTACAGGCGCTGCGGACGACAAGACGGCTGCCTCCACTCAACTTCCCCCAGCTGTCCCACACCCCTTTCACACACCCCCTGCTGTACCTCTAGCACTGCTCACACGCCACCCCCCTCGTACCACTCCGACGGCTCCAACACATCCACCCCCCTCAGCGGCAGCTGCAGTAGTGGGAGACGGAGGAGGAGGAGGAGGAGCAGGGGACGGCGCACACACCCGTCACCCCTGTCGAAATAGCTAGGCAAAAGTTAGAAACAGGAAAGAAGGGTTTTCACTAGCATGCAATTGAGTACATATAGCAAACCCTAATTCGGGCTGTACTCGCTATAGAGTACCCCACTGCAGGCTACACAAACATCACATTCTGACACACCCCCATAGTCAAAGTGGGGTACAATCAACACAACAAGCAGGCAGAGCAGTAGGTTCACAAATACAAGCAAAGCTAGAGGCTATCACAGAGAGCAAGTGAGGAGGAGGAGAAACTGCGGGGGCGAGAAGATGGGAGGCGACGGCTGAAGCTGCAGACACACGGGCAACAGGTGTGCGCAGAACTATCGCTACCAGGCTAAACCCGGACTACACGGCGACAGGCGCAGCTGGCTCGCTGTGCTCCCAGGAGTGCTCACACTGTGGCTACCAGGCGCAGAGCCCCGGACTACACGGCCACAGGGGGTCGTGGCTCTCTGGACTTCAGGCGCTGCGGACGACAAGACGACTGCCTCCACTCAACTTCCCCCAGCTGTCCCACACCCCTTTCACACACCCCCTGCTGCACCTCTAGCACTGCTCACACGCCACCCCCCTCGTACCACTCCGACGGCTCCAACACATCCACCCCCCTCAGCGGCAGCTGCAGCAGTGGGAGACGGAGGAGGAGGAGGAGCAGGGGCAGCTCACACACCCGGC